TCTATCCTCTATTACTATTCGGATCACTGTTCCTACTCTATCCTCTATTACTATAAGAACCTCTATTCACTATACAATTTTTCTATTAATATCACTATTCGGATTATTGTTCGAGTGAGTATTATCGAGTAAGTACTGTTAGTGCGAGTGCTATTCGAAGGCGTCTGACACCAGTATTGTTCAACGGCGTACCATAGTTTTATCTGCGATTGCAAAGTCTCTACTACAACGAGCATTGCGAAAGTGACAACGAATATTCGTTGACATCACAAAACCTATCTTGTGTAGCTCTTAGCAGGTTTTCTCCCTTTGCTAGGGAACTCCCTCATACTGCAACCAATTCTCCCCAAGCTAGTCAGGTAAGTGGCTGTCTACTTTCTTCTATCTTACTTGCTCTCAGTTAGTTCCATGAAGGATAAATTTTCCAAGCACTTCTTCCTCATTATTTGTCCAATGAATTTCAGCTGTCTTTTCCTGAATATAACTGTTCTTTCTGTTATAGAGGAACACACCTATTCTATAGTTAATAGACTCTCCCACATATAATAAGTAGAAGTAGTAAGAGTAACGAGAGGATCGCTCAGTCAGTCGACTGGCTGATCGGTTGAACCCTCTGCCTTTGGGCGGGAAGGAACCCGAAGGAGGCTACGCCGAAGGGCGGATTCTCTTTCGGGGAGGTAAACCGACCCTGAACCCGTTTATACGGGTTCAATGGGCATATTTTTGACCTAGCCCACGGGCTCGGAGATCCCACGTTAAAAAAGCCTTGTGCCACATGACGCCCTTGTGGGGGTGGGGGTGACTGAATATAGTTTCGACTGGCTGATCGGTTGAACTCTCTGCCTTCGGGCGGGGAGGAACCCGAAGGAGGCTACGCCGAAGGGCGGATTCTCTCTCGGGGAGGTAAACCGGCCCTGAACCCGTTTATACGGGTTCATTGGGCATATTTTTGGCCTAGCCCACGGGCTCGGAGATCCCACGTTAAAAAGGCCTTGTGCCACATGATGCAAAAATCCCGGCTTCTTGTTTTCCAGTCAGTTACACTCATGAAAAATTCAAATGGAGCCTCAGTCACCTGTCTCCTTGAATCCTTCACTTTTATTGTCGTCTCTCCATAATAATAAAAACAGTCCCAGTAGCTTAATCGCCTTGCTTGGTTTAAATCATTAAAAATGACACTTCTTGTGTCAAGGAATTTCAGTCAGAAAAGAATAATAGAAAAATAAAAATAAAAAAGAAGTAAAAAAAAAATAGGTAAAAAAAAAAGACAAACAGCGAATAAAAGAAAAGAAACAACGAAAGGAATTGGGGTAAGGACAAAATGAATAAAAATAAAAACTCAACACATGATTTTTTTTATCAGAAAGATGTTCAACATTTTTATTATTTTTACATTTATTTGAATTTCGTTTACTGCTTGTGATATGGTTTACTGTCTTTTTGCCAGATGGCACCACAGCAGCAATTACATGCAATATACACCATATGTACATACGTCTAGCGTCTACCAGTCGCGCACTCTTGCATCCATCTGCACTGGTGAATGCGATAAAAGTTCATATAGTTCCAGCGCGCTGTTTCGTTTTTCGTTTACTCAGTCCTCGTTTTATATATTTTTTTTTGTTTTGATATTTTCGTTCCTTTACCATTATTTTCAGCCAGCCTGATCCGTCATCAGAGACATAATTAATGAGATGCATTTAAAAAAAAAAACACGAAAATTAAAAATGTTTTTCCATGTTTGAAGAAAGATGAGAGAGGATGGAGACAGGCAAAAAAAGAAAAAAAAATGATATAAAAAATAAATAAATAAAACCTGTTGATAGATGCAGAGAAACTATGATTAACTGACGTAAAAGGGAACAAAAACTAATGATTGTTTTTTTTTTCTCTCTCTTTTTTAATTTCTCATTTTTTTTTTTTTAATACGGGTGATTATATCTATAAAGAAAATAGAAATTATAAATAATCGAATCTGATGATGGGGTTAGCGATTTCTTTGACATGAATTTGAAAAAGTACAAAAAATAAGACGGCGGAATAATTAAGAATCTTACTGATATATCCTTTGTTATTATTTAATTATTTTTTTTTAATTTTAATATACAATCAAATATATACATTAAACCAAGCCTTTATTTTCCAGGCATGGAATAATTATTCTTTGGTTATTTTCTTGGTAAAATATCTGAGAAATTAATAATAATAATAATAATAATAATAATAATAATAACTGTGCTACTACCATCGTAAAATTTCGTCTGAATATTTAGAATAATAACGATCATTATTGTAGTAGTAAGAATAATATAATTAATAATAATATCCATAATATTTGTCGCAATAATGTGGTATTAAAATGATGAATAATTTATAAACGTTATTGCACATGTTTCATTAAGAACAATATTCAATTTTTTACCCATTATCAGCTGTAGTTGAATTTTGACTTTATTTACGTAACAGTTCTTTCACATGCAGGCATCAATGCATTATATTA